TGTTCTGGATGATCGTGACAGACGATCATTAAGGGCAATTGTGACAAAAAATAAGAAGAGACCACAGCTGCAAAAGTTACTGCTGAAATGAATGTTGTGTTACCGAACCCTGTGAGTACCAAAACAATTAGAAGGGAGCTTCAACAAACAGGGAATTGCTGGCCGTGCTGCAATTGAGAAGCCACTCATCAGTAATGCTAATGCCCGTAACAGGAAAAGGTGTTTAAGTCATAAAGTCTGGACTATAGAGCAGTGGAAACGAGTAATATGGTCTGACGAGTCTTCTTTCACATTGTTTCCCACTTCTGGCCGAGTTTACGTCTGGAGAACGCCATTTCAAGCCTATAATACAGACTGCTTGTTGCCAAGAGTGAAACATGGCGGGGGTTCTGTTACGGTTTGGGCAGCCATATCGTGGTTCTCTGCTAGCACCATGATAACTGTGTCAGGGCACATGACTGCCAAGACTTATGTGAACATTTTGGCCGATCAAGTTCATCCCATGGTACAAACTTTGTTCCCCGATGGTGATGGTGTCTTCCAAAACGACAAAGCCCCTGTTCACACAGCTCACATTGTCCAGGACTGGTTTTCTGAGCACGAGGATGAGTTGTCCCATCTCCCCTGGCCACCACAGTCACCAGACCTGAATATTATCGAACCTTTGTGGTCTACATTGGAACGGAAAGTGCGTTCTCGTTATCCACCGCCAACATCGTTATCTGAACTTGCCACCGTTTTGCAGGAAGAATGGTATAATATTCCCTTGGCAAACATACAGGAACTGTATTTATCCATTCCGAGAAGACTGCAAGTTGTTCTGGATGCCAACGGGTTTTCTACACCATATTAAGCAAAGAAACATGTTTTTTTTAAAGGTGTTTCCATATTTTTGTCCAACCCCTGTATCTTCATTTTCACTCCCTATAACTCGAATCCCATTCTTATAGTTGCCTCTCTACTATTTAGGCCTCAAATCATCCATAAATGATTGGAGAAAGAGAATGGATAATGGCTCAGTGAAATCGTGGATTGAATGTCAGTTCACTGTTTGCTTCGCTGTGATTACTTGTAATTATACTGGCATTAAGTTCAACATTTATAACTGAAAGGTTAAGCGTGGTGTTGCGAGGGTTTGTATTTGTTAGTAAAACGATAATAATGACTACGTGGACGAATTCATTTTAAAATTAAGTGAGCTCGTTCCCTGAATGCATTGATGTAGGGGTAAATTACGTTTATGTTTTATAAATTTTCAGAACCTGGCAATAAAAAGCTGGAGGGGGGGGGTAATTCGGTATTGCGATTGGTGTCTGTCTCAACTCGGAATCCACAAATTCAAGTTGCATTCTAAATTTGTTTCTAGTAAGAATAATAAATTAAAAGGCAGCATTCCAGAAATAGGCAATCTTTTTTCTCCAGGAGGAAAAATTAGTGCACGAGTGTAGATAATTATTCAGAAATTAATTTAAAATTAACTGCAAAATAAATGTAGAAATTTCTTGTCATTAGTTAAAATCCATACATAGTTCACGCATTTTTTATGACTTAGTGCAATTTTTAAGTTCTGCCATATTTACATTAATTTCTGAAAGTCTTAACTTGAGATTAATTGCATTATTCAAAATTTTTTACATCTTATTGTCATTAACTACAATATTCAAAACCTTCGCAGTTATTAGTTCAAAGGGGCCTCAGTCCAGAAGGGCTATTAGTCTCGAAACGGCAGTTTTCGTAGATTCACTATAAACGTCTGTATCACTTTTCAAATTGTTGTCACCAAACATTGTAATATTTTGGGCCAATATCGCCCTATATTATATTTAAAGCAATTAAATAATGAAGAATTTACATGAATGTACGTATGTTTCTCGCATTGCGAAAAACAACATTTTGAATAACTTAGTCCTCCACCTGAACATGGGCACATGGAAGCCCGAATCTTGAATTTCGAATTTTTTTTATTATTTGTTTCATATTTTTAAAACTTTAACGAATTTTTGAACTCAATGATTACAATGCGAGAATTGGCAGCACACTGTGAGGAATAAAATATTTTTATCTCCAGCACGTGAGACTCTCTCTCGGGAATTCTAAAGATATGCTGTTTTTAAATATTTTTAGTCCAATGCGGCGTTAACGTAGCTCTGAAAACGTGTATATATGTGTAAACGAAATAAACGCCCCTTTGGCCATAATATAAAATTTGAAAGCTTTCAGGTTTCTTTTTTAAATTTTATTTTATTCCAGAATCATTTACGAAATATTTCGAAACAGTGTTTACCGAAATACTTTTCTCCTATTCATTTATGATAGTCGTGAAACTAGTATAAATAAAATGAATTAATGGTAAACGCATAAAACTATTCGTTTGATTACTTAGTCAATAGATGGCACCATTACCTATTTCATATTTGATTTTGACGATTGTTAAGGAAAAGCAGAATAAATTAAAATATTAAACATATATATTCTTAAATTTTGTTGGAAGATCATGAACAATGTAACTGTCCAGTTATAACGCGGCTTCTTATAACATCGTCTGGAAATAAAGCGCTTGGCTTAGCAGCAAACGTAAAGAGAGTTGCTTCCTATCAGTTTCAAAAATATCTATCGTCGAATATTTTTTTCAATTTTCAATTATTTTATAAAGCAAATTTTCGATTATTTTATAAAGCTATTATCTACACATCATATGCTTGTTTATTAAGAGTGCAGAATGTGTATAATGAGCTTCTGGTTTACATTATACTGCGCATGTATCGCATGCATTGTCATTTCTACAATGGTCGATTTTTGATGAGAGTGTTCACATCAACATTGGGGGGCCTCTCACCTTAAGACAGCCAGCATATTTTTCATCTTTTAAAAATTAATTAATATTTGTAAGCTCCTCAGAACATGCACGACGTTCATGATTACGGCTGGTGGGATCTCTTAAACTATGATTCTCTGTTTTTGTTATCTCAAAAAGGGACGTTAGTCTGGAAATGAGATTTTGCTTTGGTTCAGTATAAACGGCGTGTCACTTTTCAAACTGTTGCCACCAAGTATTGTCGCCTTATATTATTTTTAAAGAAATTAAATAATGAAGAATCTGAATGTATGTATGTGTGTTCTTCGCATTATGAAAAAAAACAACGGTATCTACAACCATCCGATTTTGAATAAAGTAATCCTCCACCGGAACATCTGCACCTGGTAACCCGAACTTTAAATTTCGAATTTATTTTATTATTTATTTCATATTTTGTATAACTTTAATAAATTTTTGATTAATAAATTCAACGATTTGAAAGCGAGCAGTGGCAACACTATTCGAAATAAAACTTTTCTATCTCCAGCGCGCCATTGAAAAAATTGTAAGATATTACAGTTTTAACTAACAAACTTGCGTCTATGAAAATAATGTTTTACTGCTGTCGTAAATAAAATACTTTTTTATCTTCGGCGCGCCGGTGTGTTGCCATTCAGTAAAGCCTAAGATACTTTCAAATTTAAACGATTTAAAAACAATAAACACAGTTCTAAAGAATACTTTTTCTGCTTTTAATGAGTTTGATTTTAATAAACATGTTTTAAAATTATGAGGTGTCTAATTAGGAATATTAAATATGTTTATGAAATTACACAAGCTGGACTCTTGTGATATACATTTTCTTTTATATTATAACTATTTTGGGCGGCTGACCATGCAAGTTGCTAGTTTTTAAAGAAATAATATAGCGAATATAAAAATATGCATGGAAAGCTCCAACTGGCTATAGAGAATTCTTAATATATACTGTTTAAAAAAATTTTGAGATTTTGCTGTTGAATTTAATTTTATGTGACTCAAGTTTAAAGAACGGGATATTTAATGAATAAAATTAACAAGCAAAAAGTGAATAATAAAAAGACAAACAAAACAAACAAAAAAAAAAAAATTGTAAGCCATCTTAGAAAGAAAAGTGAACATTGGTGTGACGAACTGAGAAAAAGACTGAAAAACGAAATTGAAAGATGCATGCTAACCAGGGGCGTAGCTAGAGGGGGGTAAGGGGGGGCATCTGTCTCCGGGGGCAGAATCCAAGGGCGCCAAACTGATGTTACGACATTTTAGAATTAAATGTTTTCCATCCTTGGCAAGCAGTAGCGGGCGCGAAATCTTCAGTTGTCCCTGGGCGCTGAAAACCCTAGCTACGACTCTGATGCTAACACTTTAACACTGCATCGAGAATTCTAAATATATGCTACTATGTTGCTTTTAAACATTTTCTGATTTTGCTGCTCAATAGTATGTGGCGTTAATTGTGAAGAAAACGATGTTTAATAATACAGCTAATAGGAAAAAATAAATAAATAATTATGAAAGTTTTCAGATTTTATATGACACCCAAGGCTGCGTGTTTTTTTCATTTACACATACATACGCGTTTTTCGAGAGCATTTCGTCTAAAAATTTTTAAAAGCAGCATGTCTTTAGAATTTCCGATAGATAGTCTCGCAGGGTGGAGATAAAAAATGTTTTTTTAAATCCTTCGCATTATTACTTTTCATATTTGCCAGAAGACGGCGCCACTATTTGAGTTAAACATTCACAATCCCAGGTGTATTGACCCGAGTATCAGGATGAAGAAAATGATTTGAGTCTTGCTTAGGTAATTAATTAGGAAATCCACAGCAGACGATGTCTTTCGGAACTAATGTAGTTTCTCACTCTGAAAATTTTTAAACCAGACAGGTGTTTTTTTTTTTTTTGTTACATTTTCACCCAGTAACCTCTTAAAAATCAGAATAAATAAGGTAATCATGAAAAGAACTAAGAAGAAAAAGTGCAAATAATAGAAGCGTGTGTGTGTGTGATTATGACAAAGCCTCGAGGGCTATCTGCCTAAGGGGAGGAATGCCTTCGTGGAGGACTTTCTAAGGGAAACTGGCTCGTATACACGTTACACATGGGGAAAACCACGAAAACGCCCATGCAGCCAGCCCGTTCGCGGGATTCGATAAATAATAGAAGCACACAAATTTCTGTTTTATTAATTTAAAGTAGCTTTTTTTATATCAGTACATATTGTGAATCTAAATATATACATCTGTTTTTATACAACGTCTAAATTTTGCATCATATTCATTTCTTCACTTTTTGTTGTGTGTGTGTGTGTGCGTATGTGTGTCTCCTACGTATTTTTTAGGATATGGAAAAGGACAATTTCTTCTGTAAAAAATAAGCGGGAAAAACTGTATATATACTTTCTTTCTCATTATCAATATCTAAAGTAATTCAGTATCTAAACTTTGATATTCCGAGAGCTACAAATGAAACATGCTTTATGCATTCAGAAACACAGTTGTTTTTTGTACTCTTTTCTGAATCCGTAGTTTTTATATTAATGCTCTGATCTGTTAGTTGTGATGAATCGTTTCATTATGTTGACACGGAAGTCTGCATTCCTTTGTCCTTCCTGTAGTGGTACCAATGTTCAGAGGACACTCATTTCGTGATTCCTTGTGGTGGATATCTAAAATTACTGTTTCCATAAGGAAAGTGTCTATGCCTAAGAGTTTTAGTGATATAACTGCCCCAGGCGGTCTGCGATATTTCTTCTTAGCTACGCTATACAAATTATTTAATTGCCACCCTTTTGACGTTGTTACTTTTATCGAAATTTCAAGTTACTGAGCTATAGCAACATGCACTCGCGTATTTGCGTATTTTTTCTATTTTTCCCCCCATTAAATTTATCGGCTTATTTCTGTGGGTAAAAGAAGGAATTAACAATTTTTTTTATTTCCATATTGAACATTTCTAACTATTTCTTGAATCAGATTTTTTTTTTTTTTTTTTTTTTTTCTCCTCTAAGGTGCATAGTTTAAAATCTAGCAACTCTCATTATCGTTAAAGATCTGTAGGCAAACGTTCATTCGCTTTGCTGCTGAAGTCTGGTGACTCATTCTCTTAATTAGAACAGTAACTGCGCAGAGTTCTGAATCTATTCGGTTGGATCAAAAATAGTCTGTGGAACCGGTAGTGGTCTGTGTATTATCAAAACAAGACCCTATATGAAATACATGGAATTGTAAATTATTAGGCAAAGAAAACTCATTTCTCATCGAAAACTCAAAACTCATTTCTAGGCCGAGTTGGTCGCACTTCGTAAGGCCATCTGTCTTATTAGTGACAAAACCACAGTTTCCAGCGACTCAGCCACCACCCTGGAGGTAATGTGCAATCTGCACTCCAGAAATAATTTAGTAAAGGAATGAATGAGCAACTTTTTTGGTCGATTACAGCAAAGTACTCGAGGGTTATTTGCCTAAGGGCAGGGATGGCTCCGCGGAGATATTTTCTAAGAAAAACTGATTCGTATCCATGTTGTACATATGGAAAATAACAAAAATGCCAGTGCAGCCCAACCATACGCAGGATTTGAGCCCCGGACCCAACTACCTGGCTTCAGCGACTTTACCGTTTGGCCGCTGGAGCGCCGACAATGGAATGACGTTTGCAACTACTTCACAGTTTTCCAATTGATCAAAGAACTTTTTATACGAGATTATGACGATATTATATTGACTATGTCCTTTATTCATGGATGTAACTCTTGTAGACCGAATCTAGTATAGGGGCTGTTGTCTTTAAGTTCTGGGCTTGCTCTATCTCTTTTTTATCGCCATAAAAGTGCAGAATTAATAGTCTTGGCTAGAATTCTGAAGGGTTGAATGAAAGGCCTGCAAATACATGTGCAAAGAATACCAGCAATAAAATATACAAAGAATTGGTCTTTTAAGTAAAGAAGTCTATTTGTTGTTTTCAGGACATAGAATGAAATTATGCTAATTAGTTAACACGTTTTTAAACAATCGGCAAAAAAAGCTGGGCGGAGGGTAAGCGATGGCGAAAATAGGCGAGTAAATATATTATTTTAATTTAATTTAATTTTGCTTATTGATCTTTATATCTACGTTTGCAAACAGGTCTATTTAAATGTGAAATTCAAATTTTTACCGATGTAGGCAAACACTGGCGTAAAGCACTACTCATTGATAGTGAACTCTAAAAAATTTATCTTTTGTAATTTTTAATCTCTTCATTGATTTTCTGCTCCCTGGTTTATTAATTCCTCGTAGATTATTTTTTTTTTTTTTGAAAAATATGAATGAAAAATTAGTTAAGATACTGAAATTCATTGAAACACGAATGACAGTTTCATAAACGTTGTACTTCCTGTTTTGATATTCTTTTGCAGTTGAAAGCAATTGCTACAGATCCCTCTTATTCAAATGTGTTTTGGAAAGTTTTTTAGATGCCAGAAATGGATGATCAAAGTGATGACAAATGTTGACATAAGAAGAGGCGCCTCTCCCACTGAAGCTCCGTTGCATCCGTCCTCGACACAGTTGCAGATGCTGATCCGACCACCAAATCCCGTTCTGTAGTAGCAAGCCCGCTCTGGGTCATAGGGTGTCGAGGCGCATTGCCTGATGGTTCGCATCTCATGCTTCTCTGAAACGGGAAAAGAACAACAGATTAGGAATTCTGCAATACCGGCCACATTTTTAATACTTAGTAGTTTAATTATTCTTCTAATTTATTCTATGCAGATGTGGCTTTGCTTCCGTCCCATTTTTAATATTCTTCCGCTAAATGCCAAAGTCAGATTCATTTTTTTTACCTTGTACTTTATGAATACTGCACAACGACTTTGTCGCCAAGATGACTCACAAAAAATTATTTTATTTTAAATACCCAGTCTCTTATATGTAAGAAAAGCATAGCATTAAAATTATAATTGTGTATACACTTTTAAAAGGAACTTTTTTTAAAATTCCTTTCATTCTCACACATGAACCGATATGATTGATTTCCATTTGATGGTTTTGGTCACAATCTGCCTAATACTTCCTTTTCAGCGTACACCTCGTCAATTTCAACGATCCTTCGGATTACAACATTTAAGTTAAAAACAACTTCAGTTTAGTTTAGAAACACCTTTAGTGTAGTTAGTGAAAAGGCCGTTAGAGCGCGTTCACAACAATTGCCTAATGGTTACAAGTGGCATCAGCTGAACTTCGTTGTTAAGCAAAAAGGCTTTGCTATTGAATGGTGTGAGAACACAGAATTCTTACAGTGAACACTATGGCATCAGCTGAACTTCGTTGTTAAGCAAAAAGGCTTTGCTATTGAATGGTGTGAGAACACAGAATTCTTACAGTGAACACTATGGCATCATCGATTCTTGAATCGTTATCGCGCGCTACCACGTGCCTCGAAGGGTATAAAAACTGGAAGGACTGGTTTGTCTTTCTCTCCTTACTCATGCTAGACGTGGCGAAGGCATTCGACCGCGTCTGGCATGAGGGGCTTATTTATAAACTTATAAATCTCCCTATGGATAGAGAGCTGATTCAGCTAATTATGTCTTTCATCACTAATAGGAAATTCACTGTGGCTATTGGAAAGGACATCTCCAGTTTACGCACCATGAATGCAGGCGTCCCACAGGGGTCCATTTTAGGGCCCGTCCTGTATTTATTTTATGTTCATGACTTCCCTAGGGCTCACATTGGCAGAAATTACTTTCTTGGGTGCTATGCGGACGATACGGCATTAGCCGTAAAGTCCGCAAACGCACATCATGCAGTCAAGAAATTACAGGAGCTTCTACCAGTGGTAGAAAAGTGGTGTAAGACTTGGAGAATTGCTATTAATGCCAGCAAGTCGCAATTATTATTGATAAGGAGGAAAAATACACAGTTGACTATTAACAGTAAGCTCTTTTTATTCTCTGAAGAGATTCCTAGAGTTAGTAAGGCGAAATATTTAGGAGTAATGCTAAATGAAAGATTAAAATGGGGAGATCATATAACAGAGGTGAGAAGAAAAATTTTCACTGTTGTAAATAGTCTCATCCCTATATTGGGTAATTATTCTAGCTTAGACCTCAGGAAAAAGAGGCTAGTTTATATCACGGCAATTAGGCCATTGATGACTTATGCGTCGCCGGCCTGGTGCACGGCTACCAAGGAGGATATAAAAAGACTTCAAATCATGCAAAACAAAGTCTTCAGGCTTATCACCCATGCTCACATTTTTGTGAGCAATGCTACACTGTACTGTGAATTAAAACTGGACACTCTAGAAGAGCACATGAATAAGATCAACAGGAAATTCTTCACGAAAGCTCTGAACTGTGACCATATGAGAAATTTTGATATCTTTACCTACGAAATATTGAATGAGGACGCCAAACTGCGCCCACTTGCGGCCCACCTTATCAGGGACCCAAACTTTCCCACCTAGTGCCCACCTGTAAATGATGTACCCAATGTGTTTATTAGCATTCTTAATTTTGTATTTTACTCATTTATTGTACTGTGTATTTCTTAAATTCTCTAGTTTTATTCACATTCTACACTCATTTTATGATTCCCACTTAGTCACGCCTTTACCGGGCCGGTTACTTGCTTGTGAGCTCTTGCGTTGCTGGTCTTCCTATTCTTTATCCGTCTTTCTCCTCCTTACTGCGGACAATCTGAAGATAGTTCTATGTTATTGTGCCCATCCGGCATAAATTTGATTGAGCCAGATAAACTACTGATCTCAGTGGTATTCTGGCTATAAGTTATCAGTTAGTCAGTTGTCTTTCTCTTTTCTCCTCTTCTGTCTGACGTCGTGTTAACGCGTGTGATGGCCTTCGGAACACACACTCAGCAGTCGCCATCGTTCCTACATATTTTCACGTGGAATGTCGTCGTATTATGCATAGAAAGAAGCAGAATTAAGAGATGTAATATCTAGAGGAAAATGCTTGGTTTGAGACTCACTAAGTCCTGCTGCCGTGAATAACATAAAAAAAAACGCTCAAGCAGATTATCAATAGGTGTTCGCCTTCAAGATGTGTTTGACCAGCGATGGGTCACCACGTGGTGAAGTGTGTTAAAAAAATGTGAGTGTGAAAAAAGAAGAGCTTGCACGTGTGTAATAAGACTGCGCGACAATACGAAAATGAATATGAGAAAATTTTGACTGCAGATATATTCGATGAGACAGGATTGCAATTTATCTACGAATAGTCACGTTTCGGCATTCACCGACCATTCCATTTTAATTTATCACGTTTTGTGTATCTAAGTTCTGATATTTTGATATTTTATATGTGTGTGACAAATGTTCCTTATTTAATCCAGAAAATGTGTTTGATAAAATAAATGTGAGATTGGAAAAAGAGAGTTACCGACTCATGCATACCTTATTGGGTAAGTCATTTTATTCTTATTAGTAAAAATCATGCAATGTACTAACCACTAAATTTTAGTTGAACTATTTACGCGGAATTAATTTGTATTTGATATTCTTAGTATCGTTACTTTTAGGCGGTCACGCCAAAAACACCACAAATGGTAACTGGAACAAGGACTTCTGTGGAATGTTCTAATTTTTCAGGTTTTTTTTTTTTTCCCAAGAAGGTTATAAGAACTCACCAATCACAAAGTAACAAACAAGCTGAAGATCTGTAAACTCAATTCACGCATGTGCAAATTTACCTTCTCTGATTGGCTATGCCTTCGACTCTATTCGACAGGTGTGAACGAAGCTTCATAAATATGAGTTATGATATTCACACTAGAGTGCAAAACTCCCTTTACATTTCTCATGCCACTTTTTGCATAAAAAAGATAAAGCTTCACAAAAATCTGAAATGACATAACGTATTTTACTGCGATTTGTAAGATTTTTTCAACTTCTTAATAGCCTTCGCATAGTTTTTAAAATTTGGAACATTTGGATAAAATACCCTAACTCCATTCGGTGGCCTTCGTGAAACCCTTTGCTTAGCAATAAAGTTTTGCTTACGTTACTTTTGACAGTTATATCATAGTCTGAACAATAAATTTTCTTTAGCTGGTTTCCCGTGAAGACGTCTTTTTCTGAGCAGCTAACTTTCAAAGGCTTTAGCATAGTTGCTTAAACTAATCCAATCTAGGAAAGCAAGGAAAAAATTCCATTTTTCCTTTGAGGTGCTGAACGGAATTTTAGAAATTGACAACAGCAGTTAAGCTTACAGAATTATAGTTTTTGCTATTCTAAGAGCTATAAACTCAGCGCATTTATTCAATGAAAGAATGATGACATTGGATGCTTACGTTTTAAGACTTCAAAATCCACCCACTGCTCTTGAATCCTGCAGGACTTGTCACTCGGAGCTGTGCAGTTTTCTAGGTACTTAGTGCTTTCAGGAGGAAGGGCACCGCAGTCCTCTTGTCCTGGGTTTCCTGTGCTGCATACATGACATTGAAGACTTCCAACTGAAAGTAAACATTTTAAAATAAATTATGTAATTTGTTTTCACTTCTGCCTAACTACAGTTAATGTGAATCTTATTGATGCTAGGCCAAAGTATTTAGGTAAAACTGTTATGGTACCAGTCAGAAAATATTTCTGTCTGAAAAAAAGCGGATTCAGTAAATTGCTTATGCCTACTGATTAAGTAACGTGAGTGAAGATGTTGTTATTGTGATTTTAATATGTTTTCTATTCAATAATTTACTTTCATTCAGCTTTAATGTCTTATTAAATGACTATCAGCGTACCGTTCTTTCATTCAGATTTCAAAATTAAAAGAGATAAGATCATGAAACGGCTCTGGCTGAACATACTTATCTACCCTACTTTAAATCTAAAAGATGAGTTTTCATTTTACTTTAAAAAAAAAATATTTAAAAAATATTATTACGGAAAATTAAGAATGTATATATTCCTTTTTATAATAACTATTTTAGGTGGCTGGCTGCACCATCGGCTAATTACTTGAAAAGTGAAATGGGCAACAAAAGCGGTCTGATGCAAAAGTGAGGTACGAGAATAATAGCTTTCTGGGCTAAAAAAAAAATGTATGAAAACATTTAATGCTGCATCTAGGATTCTAAATATATTCTGTTTATACATATTTTGTGATTTTGCTGTAAACTTTATGTAGTGTAAGCGCAAAGAAAATGAAGTTTAACAGCAAATTTACAAAGATTAAAAAAAAAAGTCTGTGTCAGGAGAAATGAGTCCAACAGCAGATAGATAATCCGCGAGCTCAACGACAACACAAAAAACTTAACTAAACTTCTAGTGCAACATTAAAATCTAATTCCTTTCAGTTTTATTTTAAACTGATTTCTACACTGAGACTCAAGTCAATAAGCTAGATTTATAGATGAAAGGGGCACATTCCGACTTTAACAATTAGCAAAATTTAACCCTCCCCCCTTTTTTTTTTTTTTTTTTTTTTTTCTATACTTATTCCAAATTTTCAATATTAATTTAAAATTCTGTATATTTTAGAAGAAAAGGTTGTATTTGTTATTCCTTTTTCAAAGTGCAAAATTCATCCAATTCCCATCTGCGTTACTTCAAAAGGAATAGTACGTATTTAGTTCCATCTATCCGAATCTATTTATTTTATCTACCAACTCCGAATTCAAGTAATCTGATACTATACATTAGAGATATTCTTCTTTCCTTCATGAAAATCACGTTTCAAAACTTTTAAACCTGGATGGAAGACGTTTGCTTAAATTTCCGAATTGCTTAATGCTACCTCTAATACCCAACAACGTAAAAATTCAGACATATGTTTTTAGCTCTAAAGCCATATGTTTTAGCTCTATAAGCTCTCTAAAAAATAATGCAGTAATTTTTCGATTTTTAAGTATTAAAATAAGTATTATATTATACTACTTTTATTTTAAATCATTTATTTTCTCCAATGAAAAATATTTAACAGGAATGAAGACAGACAATTATCGTAAATTCAACATTTGAATACTTTCCTTTATTGCCCACAGATGGCAGCACTAACTAAAAAGGTGGTTAAGATGCATGGCATCTAAAAATTTACGGACATAAGAGTGTAAAAATAAAAATGGTCTACTTGTTTTAAAATAAAAGTAAGAATGTTTTTGTGTTGTGACTTATCTTAATTATCTGACAGTCATATCAGAACAAGACCACGAAATTCATCGTTGCAAAGTGAGCAAGTTTCCGCCTGTCGTTGGCAAGAGGATGAGTTCCATACAGGTGACAGTACGGCTCAGTTCCGCCTCCAATTTTGATGCAGAGCACCCCGGAGGCACGGGTCCGAGGGTCTTCTACCCTTCTTTCCCTACCACCAACTTCTCGAGAGACTTTCGGTTCGCTATACACTTAGAGTGCCCCCCGTGCCTTGAATATGTTATACATTTACTAACATCCATGCCTCCTCCGGAATTCGAACCCAGGTCCTTCGGTACGCAGTAGACTCTCCTAACCACTTTACCGTCTGGGCGGCTTAAAACTTAGAATGAACTCATTGATAAGAAGAAAACAAATCGCACATAACTCTACAAGCAAAAGAGCAACATTTTCATTAAAGAATATCCGTAAATTCCTTGAAAACACCTAAAAGATTCTGAATTGCATTGCTAGGGGGGGGGGGGAATAATAAAAGTTAAAAATTAAAACGTCTTGCTAAGTGAAAACTTCAGGCCACAGTCTATCATCTCAGAGGTGATTTTTACCATTAAGTAAATAGAAATAATACCTCTTGTTACCAATTAATAAAACTAAATCTTTATTGTGCAGTAAAACTAAAATTCAATCCAGAAAGGGACATTCAGTTCTGAAAGTTTGATTTTTGGTTTTGCATTTTTTTAAGGAATGTTAAATGGTATAAAAAAAATAAGAATACTAACAACTTACATCACAGTCTGAATAAAACTCAAAAATGGAAATACTTAAAGATTAGGTTAATCTTTGGATCTTGGCAATTTTTTGGCGAAAATTTTGCGACCAAGCCTCCTACAGCATCTGCTAGTTTTTTTTTTTTTTCCAACAATCTGCTAGCCGAATTACGCTTATACTAGAATTTTTATGGAACAAAAGTGCTTAATCATGACGAAGATTAGGTGCGAAATTGGGAGAAAGTGCAGAATCGCCCCCTGCTTGTCGCGTTTTTAAGAATTGCACATACACGGTATCCATGCACACGTCGACCTATTTTCACTTAAAAAAAAATCCCAGAATTGCACAAAAATGGCATTGACACATTCTTGACTTTATCCATGTACACTGCTAAAGTCCTAGATAGTAACCTTTATCGCCTTACCAAAATGTCGTCAAACTACCTGTTACCATATTCCAAAGATTAGCCGAAGAGTATTAGAAATTATTAGAAAACTCTAGATTATTAGAAAACTTTATCACGTGAATTTATTTGGAATATAAGCTACAACTTATACAAGAAGTAGCTTTAGTAATTTTGCAATCGCCATGTAATGGGGCGTTGAAAAACCTATTTTATTTACCAGACTTATATAAAGCAATATTTCTGGTAACAAATTATTAGATGATACAGATGAAATTACTCATTTAAAGGACTCACTTTGTTAGACTGTTGACAAAGGCATTTTATAATATATAGAAGGTACGTAAAAGATCTACGATACCAATTTGAATGGGGGAAAATAAAGCTTTGAAGTATTGTGGAAGAAGGTTAAAATTAAAATATATCAAATGAAGAAAATGGACTTTTATGAGTATGAAACGAAATTTATGTCAATTACTCTATTTAAATTTAGCAAAACTGAGTTATTCAGCAACCAATATTCATGGTAGTGTTTTAAATTACTTTCGATTTTACCGTATGATTCATGTTTTTAAATTTTTTAAGTTCTTTTAGTTTGCCTGTTTAAGAATGAAACTAAGTTAAAAGCTATTAGTATCTATAGTTAATAATTTTAATACGAATTTCGTATTTCAGAAAGAGTTTAACTTAATTCTTATTATTTTTTGCGTGATATTTTACTTCTTTTCTCATTTGTTCAAATACTGGTACCAAAATTATTAGTCCTTCCGTTATTATTTAATTATTTTTAATTTGTTTATTAAAAGAATCATTTCTAGTAAATATTATGTAATATTTTTTCTTTGAAATAGAAAAACTCGTTTCAGCTCACCTGAAACACGCATACAGATTTTCTTATAAAGTCTATTTGGTTTTATAAGAAAATTTCTATGAGTGAAACTAGGTATACTTTTAACTTTCACACTAATGGGATTCTCTATGACTATTATTATTGAATTTCGTAGACAGTTTTGATACTGTGTTATGATACTTTATCATGTTCACCGCTGACATTCTTCTCAAATTGCTTTTATTGATATTTTGCATTGTAATATTTGAGTTTTGATTTTAATTTTCCTTTGATTTTTTAAAAATTCTGTTAGTTTAAACTAAGTATGAAACTAACATTAATAATATAAACCATGCAAATAAACAAACATAATGAATCGTAGAATCAATATCAATGTAAGGCTGAATTTAGCCTAACTTACCCCTCTCACCTCAAATTAACATACAGTTTAATTTGATTCGATAAAATCTTTTATTTATTGATGTGAACAATCATTTGAGAGATACATTAAGCCTAATTTTACTATAATTTGCAGTAAACAACTAGTCATTGCCAGTAGTCAGATTGCGTAAACTGTTTGGTAAAAATGATCTTCATTTACTATAAAAGAAAAATTTGTTTTTTGGTATTGAAGATCGCTATAGTATAGTTCTTCCACTTCCTTATTTATTTTACATTACCAAATCGCTGTTCTTTGTCCTTGTCGTATCACATGTGTCATCAATTCGATCTGGTAACTTGCCAGTATTTAGAGGTTTTGCGAACCCACGTAGCATACAATTTTTCACTTCGTTTATGACTTCAACAAATTGGGGGATTTAAGGAGTAATATATTGTTGCGTACCTACGGGTTCGTAGTGGATTGAATGCACACAGAACCGATGAGATCTTGATAAAATTTATTTTCTCAAAAGAAGTACTTAACAGTTCTGGAACTTTCGACAAAAGCACTCTTACAGCTCTTCTCAGTATCACAGACAAAATCAGTAGTTACACTTCAAACTACTAAGAATGTTAAATACAGCGTAATGCAGAGCGCATCTAAAAGGCGAAGCTCACACGGGGATTTCTCAATACTCCGAACTCAAAGCTGAACTAAAGAACTCTGAGTTCAAAACTGAAAACTGATTCTCTCTCCGATCTTGTATAGTTTTCCTCCGGCCGATGAGAAATCTCTAGTACTTTCCATTTCTCGAAATTACTGGAAGGCATAGACGGTTAAAGTTACATATAGGGATCAACTGCAGTTATTAAATTACTGTACCAATTACAATTACACAGCGACCGAACCAAAATGGTGCCAATTTTGGCGATATTTGGCGAATTATTGCCAAATTTGACTACAAAATTAGTCGCCAAAACCATTG